CACCAAGCATACTTCGAACCATATTCATTGTAATTCGATTCTTGCGTTCAACCACCCCATTTTGTTGGGGAGTATATGCTGTTGTAAGCTGCCTGCTATGCCATTTAACTTACAGAAATCATTAAACTCATGGGAGATAAATTTCCCTCCCCTATCAGTCCACAAACGACAGATAGATGCACCAATTTCTTTCTCGACCAAGCTCTTGTAATTTTTAAAAATAGTAAAGGCCTCAGACTTTTCAGCTAGGAAGTATAACCAAACTTTTCTACTATAATCATCGATAAAACTTATGAAATACCTCTTGTGACTGTTGGAGATAGGTTTGATGGGGCCACAGATATCGGCATGCACGAGTTGTAACCTTGTTGAAGCTCACCACTTACTTCTTTTTTGGAATCACCTCTCTGTGTTGCTTTCTCACTAGACATCCAGTACAAGCCCTGATTGTGCTCTTGACAAGAGGCAGTCCTTTCACCATCCCTTTATACTGCAGCGTCCTTAAGCTTTTATAGTTCAAATGCCCAAATCTTTGGTGCCACAAATGTGAGTCTTCTTCAGTAATTGTTTGCAGGTAGATGACTTTTCTAGTACCACAACATTAGCAAGTAGCACAAACATTCTATTTGTAGTCATCCTTGTTTGCATGATTAGCCCCTTCTTAGGATGATATAGTTTACATTCTCAAAGGTGAATTAGTATGGTCAATTCCTTCTCTTGCAGCTGCCCAACACTCAACAAATTGTTCTTTAAATCAGGTATATAGAAAACATCAGTAACTACCTAAATTATGCCACTGATTTGCAGCTGGATATTGCCTCTTCCCATTACCGCCATTCTTGAGTTGTTTCTGAGCTTTATTGAATGTCTGAACTCCTCATCAAGATTGGAGAACCATTGCTTGTTACCGCACATATGATTACTACACCCCGAATTAATAAACCGCACTGCTTCTCGTTTTGAGTTGTCTGATTCCACATAAGACATTAGGAACATCTCATTCTCTTCATCAATTTCAGCATAGTTGGAACTTTTTTCCCAATTAGGGCATTTATATTGGAAGTGCCGTAGTTTGTGGCATTTGAAGCACTCAATGATAGCTTTGTTCAAGGACCTGCCTCTGTCTCTTCCACGTCCTTGAACTGATCCTCGACCCTTTCCCCTACCTCCAAGTCTTTCATCATGAGTAATCTTCAATGCTTGTTTTTCTTAAACATGACCGTTCATTCTCTGTTCATGCACAAGTTGCTCTGAAGCTCATCAATTGTCAAGATCTCTAGATTGTTGGATTCTTCGACTGAGCAAACCACATAATCAAATCTTTTGGTCATCGACCTTAAGATTTTCTCAACAATCACAATTTCGTCCATCTTTTCTCCATGAATCTTCATCTTGTTTACAACTGAAAGAGTTCGAGCCAAGTACTCATCCACTTTATCTCCTTCCCTCATCTAGAGAACTTTGAATACCCTTCGTAGTGTTTGCAACATTGAGCACACTTCACTCTTGTTGTTCCCTGGTACTTTTGCCTCATTGAATCCTAGATACTTTTTGTTGTCTCCTTGTTGATGATTGTTTCCATGATAGTTCTGTCAATAGCCTGAAAGAGATAATTTTCTTACCTTTAAATCTTTTAGACGCTGCTCCTCAATGGTCTTTCTGTTGGCTCCACTCCGTCTACAACTACAAGGATCCCATTCTCCACCAAGCTCCAGTACTCTATTGACCGTAAAATATTCTCCATGAACATGGCCCAATGGTCATAATGACCATCAAACCTTGGTATTGCAGGTTGGATAAAACCTCTTTCTATTGCCATTCTCTCATTCACTCTTTTCTCACTCTTCTCTTGTTCGGAATCTGCAGTTCCTAACCTCACTCACTCAGGCCCCTTGTTGGGGCTCTGATACCAAAATTGTATAACCCAAAAACCCTTAAGCAAAAATTCTTAGTAATTGATGAACAACACTCTTGTTCAACTTGAAGCAAACTCAGTGGTTTATATAGCCTTACATGATGAGAAAAGAAACCAAACAACCCACATTCTAAACACACCTAGAAACGTGGTAACAATAGCTAATGAATAGGTCAAATCTAACAAGAAGTCCCTATTCAATGGGATTATTAACATAACTTGAAGAGGTCAACTCTAACCAAACTTAACTGACAAGCAATAACTCAATAACTCCAACATTTTGGGTCTGAATGGGTAACAACATTCTTTGGATCGAGTATGTATTTCGGATCAGGGATTATATAGGAGTTTTTGACACTTTCCTCTTTGGCTTTATCACGTCCCACTTCGATTTGAAAATTGGAAACCTCCATCTTCTATATTGCAAAAACCTGCCTACCATGACTATACATTCCATCCTTGCTTCGCATTCCAAATACGAACTGGTAAGTTCCCTTGATTTAGGGATACCTCTAGGATTCGGGGGATCCACGATAATCGTGGGAAAAAATCCATTCAATTTTGAGATTTTCTCCTCAATCCTCTCACCCCTCTGAATTCCCGGATGGACCCGTGTATTGACATCGTTTTCCACTCCGGCCAACGTATCTCGATTATTACCAGCAAATACTCTTTTTGTAGGCGGTCTATGCGGCTTAGGTCCTCTTTTAGATTTTTCTTCAGAAGCTCTTAACCAGTTCCCATATTGCATTTGGCTTAGGTTCACTAAACTCTGTGTTCCTAATCTCCTTGAGCATTCCCTTTCTCCATGTGCCAATCGTCCACAATAATAACAAAAGTTTGGTAGTCTCTCGTACTTGAAGAAAACTGTTAGGCAAATGCCTTCTGCCCCAGTAACCTTCAAACCCCTAAGGAGGGGTTTATTGACATCTATGTTTATCCGAATCCTTAAAGACTTTCCTCGGCCAACTCCCTCGTGATTTAGATTAGTCTCTAGATATTTACCCACTCGATCCCCTATAATTTTACTTGTGGCTTTAGTCATGCTATTGAACGGTAAGTTATACACTTGAATCCAAAAAGGGCAATACGTGAAATGGACCAAGGCCTTCCTTCTGGCAATCTTCTTTTATCCACCATTATTGGAAAACTGGATTAAGAATAGTTTGTCCCCTAATTCCCTGAACTCCGCTGCCGATATATTCCACACTAGTTTCTTAGTATTCCTCAAAGCCGCCTTATTGAAAGGCTTACTGGAGTGTAATGTTCTCTCTTCCTCTGAGAGTTTAAACTTTGACCACATTCTCTCCATCTCGTCCTCCACAGCCCAATTCTCTAGACCACAAAAACAGAGACGCCAAGTGCTTGTTATTCAACCAAATGACAAACTAAGCTCCTGACAGTCAAGAATCAAGACCTGCAATAGTCAAAAAGAACATAAATATGAATAGAAATAAGAAAAATGAAAAAGTAGCAGTGGGGAGAGATAGCAACAATGAGGATGGAACGGAATCACTTTTGTAATCTAAAAATTTTAAAAAATACATTCTTAAAATTCTTCCCAAAAATAGTTTTCAAATACTTTTTTTAAGATACAAACTAAACAGGTCCTTAATAAATTAGTTAATCTATACATACGTGCTTTGCACGTGGACAATCTCATTACGAATATTTTATCTAGAACCAAAATTAAAAAAAGTGATCCCGACATTGCAAATAGGTTGAAGTAAGTTCAATAAGATTGTGATTTTAATTTCTTTTTTTGGGGGTAGGGGATCAAAGGCTAAAAAAGTTTCAATCTGTATTTGCTTGACTCAAAACAAATAATATTTTTCAAATATTTATAAATTAATGTTTTTTAAGATTTTTTACTATTCAATAAAAATCTAAAGAGACAAACCTCTGACACAAAAATCCAATAAAAGTATCAGATAAATTATTGTGATTATTACAATTCTAACACCTTAACTTGAACTACATTAAGCAAAAATAGTAGGATTAATCTCAATAAAATAGTGTCTATATATTGATCATTATTTTGTAACATTTAATCATATTTGGCATTATAAATATACACCTAATGAAGAGATAAGTCATCTAATACGCAGTTATGTCAGATACAAGGTATGCTCTCCTAAAAAGAGGATCAGAAAATCTTACTTCTCTAGCTACTTGTTCAATGCTTTTACAAATTTCTTGAAATTTTTTTTCTAAGATAGAGTTGAAAAAAAATAATAAAGAATTGAAGTAAAAAGTAATTGTCTAACAACTATTCAATCAAATGACCAAAAAACTAAACAATTATAAGTTCTTACAGCATTATGCTTGTGTACAAAAATTTATGATCAAGATCATTAGCATCCGAAGACAAATAAGCTCTTTTTATTTTTGGAAAAATCACAAGCTCCCACACATATAAATAGGGGCAAAAGTGATTACCTAGGAATCAAGTTTAACGATATAGAAATGACACTTTCACATCAAACAAATACATTAAGCAAGAAAATTTTTACAACAATCCTCAAAACCCAATAAGAAAGAAAGAAAAGGTTTTCACAATTTTTTATAGTTACCATAAACTCTTGGTATTTTTATGTCCATAAAACCCACCATCAACTTTTGAGAAAATTTCAAACTTTCTTATAGTAACAAAAAAAATTTGGCCTACGAACATTAAAACCTCAAATAAATTCAAGTGGTTAGAATTAAAAGACCAAAAGTTGTTGAGTTCATTATGTGGAGAAACAAAAAGGTGGTAGTGTATTGTTTTGTTATTAGTTATAATGGTATGAATCATTAGAATTAAAATCAATAATTAAAGTTGAAATGAATATATGAAATATTAAATATATGTGCATAACCAATTTCAAGAGATGGAAAAATATGGAAGGAGTATGTAATTAATTGGAGAAGATGAAAAAAAAAAGTATTCAACAAAATATAAAGCCAATACAAAAGATTTAAATTAAAGAAACAGTAAAATATTAATGGGAATTCACTCGATTTTCTAAGAAATTAATGCATATTAATATGCAACCAATTAGATCAATAAATTAAAATAGACACAACTGAAAATAATTCCGAATCAAAACATCTTTGCCCTAGAAAAATCCATCCCGGGATTCTCAGCCATGACCTTCTTCAAAAGCTCTTGGTTCTTGATCTCTTCACTCGTCGGAAGCCCCCTAGCCTTCTGCCGTTGATCAAACATCACCTTCTCCACGGCCGACCGCGTTTCCGAATCCAAATCCGACAACTTGCTGGGCTCAGGTTCTGCTTTCTGAACATCAATCTCATCACCTCCCCTCAGCAAACTCTTCCACCATTCCGTCCGATCCTTCTTGGTCAATAGCACAGATACAGATTTCTGATCCTCTAGGCTCCAAAAGCATTCATCAACGTTAACAGAATTAAAAAGCTCGCCATCGATAATCGGAGACTGTCCCTTGAGCCCAACTTTGAGATGATTCTTCTTTAACTCCCATGAAATTGATCGCGATTTTGTACCGGGAGGCAAGGGTATGGTGATCGTAACTTCTTGCAGAGATTGGCCCCATGAATATTTTTCTAGATCAAGGCCATTGCCTTTGTTCGGAGCTAGGGCTCCCTTGTTCTCTTTCTTGATGTTACTCGTAATTTCATAGGTGGTAGACGATGATGGCTTTGCTGTTGGCTTGTGGTTTTCTTCTTCGTAATCGGAAAGAATCGCCATGGAGAGAAGGATGAAGAATTAGGGTTAAGATTTGTGGGTGTAGTAGGGTTTTGGGATTTTGCCTTTGGGATTTTGTGTGTTTCTTAAGACGTGAACTAGGCATCAGTGCGGTATATATAGGAAGTAAGTATACGAGTTCGTCCTGAATTAGGAGTCAGAAACGTGGAGGGCAAGAAAAGGTTCTTTCTAAATTAGCAGTCAGAATCGTGGGTGGCAAACAAAGGTATGTTGAAAAAAATGGTTAATAGCATTTTTTATCCCTAAAATTTGTATTTTTTCTCGGTCTAATTTTTATTATATCAATTTTATCAATTCGATCTTTAAAATATTAGTTCTTACATAGACGAATCGTTAAGTTTTTAACGGAATAATCACATATTGGGCACGTGATATCATTTTAAAAAAGAACACTTCGTCACTTCCGTCAAAAAATTTGACAAATTATCTGATTAGGGATCAAAGTGACACGGATTGAATGTTTTAATGACTAAATTACAAAATTTATACAATGATGACTAAACTGAAAAAAAAAATTATGTTTTATAGACCAAAAGTATTATTAATCCTTAGAAAAAAAACTAAAAAAAAAATTGTGTTGGTTCAGATTCCAATTTCCCTATAGGTGTAGGCAAAATTAAAAATGATTAGTAGTTGCAAATGGGTTAAACTCCTCTCTAATTTTAAATTAATTGTAAGGATCCGTACATGGTAAATGTTGGCAATTCAAACTCTTTTGTATTGTTGAAATTGGAAGTAATTTTTGAACGTAGATAAATTATCGACAATTAAAAAGAATTAGAGGATTTTCTAATTATTACGAGATTGAAAAAGAATCTAACTAGATAACATCATTTGTCTCACGTACAAAAAACCGTATACATAAAAGTATTTTAATATGATTCAAAAACTAGAAAATGTAGACGATACAAATTTATGTAACAATGCGACCTAATAATTGCTTATTATATGACACATTTTGGATTGCCCCTCGTATTTATAGCACACATCAACAATTCAGACAATGAGTGATAAATGTTCATAGATCAATTCAGGGCAGAGATAGGTGGGAAAGTGTGGGGCACCTTTTGAAAAATATTCCACATATATATTGGTTTACAAATAAAACTTAGATAAATTTATTATTTGTCCCTTCAAGTTCTTGAAAATTTATACAGCAATTTAGTGATTCACTTGCCACTTGCATTTATATATATATATATATATATATAAATTACTAAGAAATCTTATCATTAAAAATGATCAATTTTAGATGAGTCTTGAGATTTGTAACATACTCATCATATTGAAATTTACTCTTAAAGAGTTATTATTTTTGTTTGTTCATATTTTGTTAATGGTGAATTGATATTATTTTAATTTTTACAATAATTAAGTCTTAAATATTCATATATTTCTTCTACTTCACCTAAATGAATTTTTTATATGATCATAACACCTAATTAGGAATATTCCTTTACACTAATTGATCAATTTCGTCATTTGTATTTTTATTCTCTCTAAGATAAAATTCTGACTCCGCCTCTGAATCATACACCTCACTAACCAACTTTTCCGACTCACTTTCCCAGGTGTTTTGGATTGTGGCACTATTGACCTTTTGACTATTACAATCCATTCACCTGAATGCATCTTCAAGAGAAGAGTTAAAATATAGAAAAAAATTTTAATTTAGTTATTTTACCTTAAAATTTTACTCTGACAAAAAATATTTCAGAGCATCTAAAATAACATTTTGTTATAGTGACACTCTAAATAATATAAAGTGTTTTATAATATTTTCTCTCTCATCTTCCTTTTTCTCCGTTCTCTCTCTCTCTCCCTCTCACTACTCCCAAAAAAATAATATAAAAAGAATGAGAAATAATATTTAAAAAAAGTAGTTTAAAATATAAAAAATCTATGGAAGTGTGTATTAAAAAAATGAATAGTTAAAATAAAAAAATATTCATTTTTGAATAACTAAACTAACTTTTATTGTTGGACATCCTCTACATAAGCATATCATTTTGTGAGACCCGCCAAAGAACCTCAAGATCTTGAGGGTGGTCCCTTAATTACGGAACCGAACCAAGCATGTCGAAGACAGAGAACATTTAGATAGATTTGATTGGTTGATTTTTCTGACCAAGTGAATTTTTATCCCCGTTTATCCTTCTCTCTTTCACTCTCTATATTTTCTTTTTCTCTCTTAATTGACCAAAAAAAAAAAAGGTAAAACTTGGGGCAGAATCCACCTTAGGGGACTTTTAATAAGTTTAGTCTATCACTTAAATTTATTTAAAAATAAGTTCTATTTTAATTTTACTAATGAGTAGTTAAATTCACTATTGATTTTTTAAACTCTAAAATATCCTTACTGTTACGCTTTTTTCAATCTAATTTTTCAATATTGAGATTGTTTCCTAGTTGGGAAACGTTGAGATCAACAGGAAGCGCAGATATACTCCTTGATTTATGTTCGTAATTGCCCGTAACAATCTTTTTATCATTTTTAAAATTCAATTTCTCTCTCTATCGAAATTATTTCTGACTGCAGAGTTTACTTGAGCCCGAAGGTTTGGAGTAAAAGTTACCTTATAACATTACTATGCATGTTTCATTGGATAGACTTTGCCTTTTTGGTTCCATAAGCAGTGTATTCACGCCATTAATCTGGGGGATAGTGGATTTATCATTGTCAGAGATGAAGCACCATCATCCAATCCCCAGTGCAAATTCTCTCTCTTGAACTCAATCACCATCACTGACAGATCGAGACATCTGTTAGTTGCAACCGACATTGTGGCTTTCGGTGCCGCTGTTGATGTCGTCAGAAGGGATATTCTATTGGAGGACGCATTGCTTTCTGCTGTTAACCACGAAGCCGGCGATGGAGCCCATTCTTCTTCTATCATTTCTTATGCTGTATTTCAACTTGTGTTGTCTGGTCTTTTTCTCTGTAGGGGATGATATTGCTATAATATAGGACCTTTCTGTATCGTCTGTGTATTTTTATCTATTTTCGGTGGAGTTTCCCACACATCCCCAATAAATGGGTTAATGGGTTTTGGCCCAAACAATGTATGTGGACTGTGGATCATTTGGGTGAGTTGAATTCATGTCATCCACAATTACTGATTTGTGCCCAAAGTTTAAGTAGTGGGGCATGGGCTTAAGCTAGAGCTTTCTTTCCCAGAACTACCTACAGGGTGACGAGCAGTTGTGGAAGTCAATCCAACGTTGGTAGTTTAAGTAGTATGCTTCTCAATCCAAGACCATCGTCCAACAATACATTTAGGATTAATGATTGAAATGCAAATCTCAATTGTATTAACCAGCCATAATTAGTTGTAAATCATATTTATCAGTTAATGTCACTTGCAAATCACACACATTAGTTACATTCGGATTCAATAGGCCTTTGGGCTCAAATTTTCGACTCGCACTTGTTCGATCAATGAACCAACCCGTGTGTGTTAGACACAAATTCTTTTAATTGGCCTGGCCAGACCTGATCTCGAAGAAATCAGTCTCATTCTCTCCTTACTATCTCAACACCTCTAGAAAACCATAAGAAGAACCAACCATAAGTAAATAGAGAAACAAAAAAAATGAGAAGACCATGCAATATCCTCTTAAATCCATCTGTGATCTACCACCATTTTTCAACTGAAAACTTTCCAATGATGAAGAGTATGAATACAAATAATCCAACCAAAGTTCAATGATTTTAATGCCAAAAAATCCTGTGCTGCGGTTTTGCTGGGTTAGACTCACTTTAATGCCCAACTTATGTTTTTCTCCCTGGCAACCTGCAACAGAAAAGGGGTCATTTCTCTCCATCATCAGGCAGAAAAAAATCAAGCAAGCAGAACCAACATTTTACAAAAGATAAAATAACCAAGAATCAAAATATCATTTTGGCGCATTGTTTCGGTCACTTAAGAAATGGAAGCATTTCTTAAATATTTCAGAAACATAATAAAAATGGATAAAAATTTAAGAATTTATTTTCAAAACATTTTAAAGTAGTCTAAATATAATTAAAGATCTTGAAACATCTCGAAACATTCCAAAACATTGGTGAAAACATATTGAAAGTTGAAACATCCCAAAAAACTTAAAACATTCCAAAATAACTCAAAGTATTAATATTTTGATTCAATCAATGATTCGTTTCGGTCTCTTTAGAAACAGAAACGTTCTCACCGTTTCAACACGGTATTTTGATCCTTGAAAATAACAAAGAATCCCAAAATCTACACTGTAGAAAAATATATCACTGTAATGACAATAAAATTTAGAGCTCATCTCATTTCATGCAGCGGAAAGATAAACATCTTCCAACCATAGAGTTCATCAAGAAATAAGAGAGCAAACTTACACATTTAATCACTGGCTGGAAAGTAAATCCTGAAGGTGTCTTTCACTTTAAGTTTCCGCCTACAAGTTGGGCACTTCTTCTGAACTGCTAATGCAGTAAGAATGCACTCTTTACAGAAAATGTGGCCACACTTGGTTGAAGTTTCCTCCACGATATGGCCTATGCAAACTGGGCAGTTGAAAGTGGGTGCCTTGGACTGAGGCACAAAAAGGGCAGTTCTTCACGCATGGCAACATTGACACTCTGTCATTGAACAGTTCCAGTTGTAATATTAGTCCATTGGTTAGCATATGAAAATGTTAGCATAAACATGTGATTAGAGACAAAAATTTATGCATAACTAAGCTCATACAACCAACTAGTGCACTGGTTATCTCTCATAATGTCAAACAAAAGCTTTGACATTTATGGGTGTTGCACAGCACATTGGAACCAAATAATTTATATCAGTTTGCATAATATCCTAGTAAACAAAACCTCATTGAATTCTAGATTTGTCATTGCCCCCACAGGAGCGGAGCCAGAAATTTATCGTAGTGGGGGAAAATTTAAACAATAACACGATAAAAAGATTGAACTAATAATAAATACAAAAGCTTAAATATTGATTAGTAACAATTCTATTGAATGCATTAACAAGGTTTCTAACTAGCTTTTTATATTTTGAAAATATTGTATACTAATCTTATTATCTATGTAATTAATGACATTTTCCTAATACGTACAAATTAACAACGCTAAAGATAGCGACTGACGTAACAAAATATAACAAGAGAGAAAACAAAGATTCAAAATGGTTTTGCAACAGTTTACAAAATTAAGAGTAGAAATTTAATCCAAATGTGTGAGATGATTAAATAGATCATGATGCATGAGTTTTTTTTTTTTTTGTGGGGACAAATCTAGAAATACATCAAAACATGTATAGAAATTTGTTCGAAAAAAAAAAAAGAATTGAGTGGGGGCAACTACACTGAGTGGCTTCCTCAATGTACCCACATAAAACTTCTTTTCCATAGCCACAATGAAGCACTTGGATGATCGATTTCCCACACAAGTACACAATCATATCAAACCAACCTCCACCCCCAACCACCACCAAAGCACTCACCACAACAAAACGGAAAAGAGCATAAAAAAACAAGATGGAACTTGACAGAAATAATTCTTTCACAAAGAGATATCATAAAACTAATTAAGCAAGATTATGACTTCATCTATATAGTATTAGTCAGTGTGTTTTTTTTTATTCTATTCCTCCTCATATGGCAGGGGGGAGGGGGCGGGGGGGGGACTTCAAATGGGTCCTATAAGAGAGGAGGGAAGTAGAGTGAATAAAATCTTGCAATGGAATTATCTGCATGAACAATACCCTTAGGGTAGATGGGTTAGCAAAATCAGGAAAGAAAGTTGTAGCCTATGGAGAAGATGGTTTGCACTGTGCTAACTGCACCCAAAACAGAGAAAAATCAGCAGGTCATCAATCTTTAAAAAAGCAAAATATTGTAGCCCACACTATATTACAAATGAACTGATTAAAGTTTGGTAACTGGTCTCCGACAGGATTTTTGAAAGATATCTTGTAAGGAGATTGGCAATTACTAGCCATTTTTTATATTTCAGCATGGTGCCAACTAGAGAATGAAACAAGAAGTAGACCCACTTTCAAGGGGGAAAGAATGAAGGCACCAAATATCATCCCTAACCATTTTGATGATGCAGAAGAAATGAAAAATAAAGGCAACAGAGAGCAACAAAAAATTATTGAAGCTCACTAATATTGCTACCTTGGTTGTCTTATGGCCTTCCAAGATAGAAAAATTACCAGCAGCCGTCCTTTGTTTTGCTGGTGTTCTTCTGGCCCGGTTGCCAACAGTAGACAACCTAGCTGTAAACCAATTCAAAAATAGGAGTAAGTGATCTCGAAATAAAATTGGGAAACAACTCAAAGAAGATATCAACTAATAGGTGACACATTGTTTTGTTCTTTATAAAACAACTGTGAGTGAGAGAAAGCAAACGACCCTCCAACATGTAATAATACAAGCTCAGTAATAAGTGGGGACTTGTGGACCATCTTTTTGATAAGAAACACTGATTTCATTAATCAAAAAAGGCAAAAGTACAAAGGGCATGTGAAAGTTAGACAAGAGATCCAAAATTAAACCTTGATAACAGAAAATAGATATTGACCATCATACAACAAGAATCTCAACAGGAAATGAGTCAAATAATGCAATCTAAGCTGCTAGGCTAAGAGAATAATAATTGGATGTCATACATACAAGTAATAGGTATTAACAGAACAAATGAAAGCTCATTCCACAAACTGGCCTCATCCTAAAGTTAGTAATAGTAGGTGAGTAGGCTATTGGTGCAAACGTATACTTCAAGGTTGTCTGCAACTGTAAACACGGGACAGGATATTGGTGCAACATACTACGTAAGGTTGCCTGCAAATGTAAAACTTCCAGCAAATTTTGTTTCATCTGTCCCCATATTTGGAGGAATATGGCCACTATGTCACTCCCCATGCCGCCCACAACCAAAGCCAAGAACTAATGAATTAAAGATGAATAGAAAGTAAACATGGCACTCAAACTATCGGTGAGATACATTAAGCATAATGGTGGAAAAAAGTGTCAGCTTCAGGAGATACAATACAAGGCCGGTTAAAACTTAGCAGATTTAAGTTACTGATATCCAAAGACCAATAGAAAGGCCTTCCCTGATGGTGTTCCACTTATGTAGGATCTTGGACAGGTAGGCTTAAAATTGGTTCCAATTGGAGTATTTTACTATTGAACCAAATAATGACCTCAAATATATATACTATGACAATGATGCCTAAATTTAGAACACCATCAAAGAGAAGCAAAAGCAAAAACATTAACAAACTAATAGCTGCCTCTACATGACATTGGATACCCTGATAATTGAAAATATTTTTTAATAAAATTTTTGAATTCCAAAATTTCAAAATCCATAATCAAGAATAAGAAAAATGAGTGTAAACAATAGCCAAAGAACCTGAAAAGCCTCTCTGGGATTCAGTTTCTACATTGAACACCTCAATTGGCCCATGGTTCCTTCTGGACTTTTCCCTAGCCTGATCCGAGTTGATAATCCAAAACACAGATTAGCTAAAAAAGCAGTAATTTTATTAGAAACAATGCAAATAATTCAAATGTTAGATCTCATACCTCAGCAAAACTCCTTGGGGAGCATATCACGACATCATCATCAATACACTCGCAATCACTTGGCACATGAATTGAAGATAGTCGCAGCTCCAAATCAAGCACCATTTTCTTCCAAGAGTGTTAAATCACTCTGCTTGATTTCTTCTAGATCCCTGCAAGTTTATAAACTAATATTAACTGCTTTTTGGTTTTCTAATCATGAGAGAAGGAATAGACTTTCTCAAGCAAATCAACTTAGGCTACATTATAGAAAGGGCTAATCTTTCTCCAAAATTATCTTCATGTCGGTCATTTCAGTTTGATTAGAGAATAGAAAGAAAATATATTTCTTTGTCTACAAAGTTATATCACATAAATTTAAGACAATTTCTGCAACATATGAACTTCAAACTCAGCATAACTAAAGAACAAATCATAAGACAAATATCATGCATCACATCAGAATAACAACGATAAGAATCCATAAAACATCAGAATATTATAACATGCACATTGCTAATGTTGCAACCATAAAAAATGCATCCACAGTGCAGTCCTAGAGGAGATTCCACTGTCATAACGCCCTGTATTCTCATTCTAACTCCATCAAACATTCTAAACTTTATCGGTGTGTTTGGCGGGGTGGATGTAAAAATGGAAAGATAGAAAATAAGAGAGATATATTTTTTATCCTTAAAGGGAGAAATCTTTCTTCCCTGGTAGGAGGAATGAAAAGTAGGAAGAGTAGGATTGATTTTTTTGTGTTTGGTAGGATTAAAATATGGAAGAATCGAAGAAGCATTGCTGCATAGTTACCATTATATCTATATATGAAATTTATGTGTACATAATATGTAATAGACAATCAGGATATATGCATATATTAAAGGAGACAAAGTAAATAACATACATTTCAACACACATAATTAATTTTTCATCCTCTTTTCCTCTCAATTTTTGAGGGATAGATTTTGGTGAGTTGAAATGAAAGCTAATCTATCAACTTTTCCATCCTTTCTATTTTCCTTCCTTACCAATCATGATGTTTTATCTATCGTTTCACCTTTCCATCGTACCAAACAAAGCATAAATTTATGAGTAGCTTTTCATTAGAAACCAATCACACTGCTATTGTCAATATCAGAAAAAAACCACTAGTTTTGAATCTCTTAAAATTTAATAATAAACCTTCATTAAGAAGGGCCTTCAAATTTTTAGTACTGCAAGGCATATAACAAGAAAAATCACTTCCATGCCTATTAGTTGGTCCAGTGAGCTGTGGATTATGCTTGTACCTAGTTTGTTTTGACAGAACAAATGCCATCTGGAAATAGCTGCCAAGTGCCAAGACTAATTTCATAAGCAGGGTGTGTTTGTAGAAACAATGGTAAATGGCTTTCCATACTGATGATACAGTATTTCAAAAATAACTCCAAAGAAATCCAAATATCAAAACTATTTACAGAATGTATAATATTTATTAACTTTCCAACTATATCAAGGAAACCAAAGAGACAGTTTCAATAGTATTCTCAATGCAACCACACAGTCGAAATAACTTGGCAACATAAGCAGCATAGAATTGATTTGTGAACACAATGAAATCAGCCAACTCAAAGGCACAAGCAGCACAACTACCCACAAAGGAATGCATGTATATAATATGAGTACAAAGCAACAACTTCAAGCATACACCTTACTAAAAACACCTCAAGCATACACACACACACACACACACATACACATGTTCATTTAAATAAACAGAAAAGCCATCATCGGCACATGATAACACTAGTCAATTATAAACCAACACATGAGCTAATGAACCCTATGTATGACCAATAGTTACCACAAAGATTATGATCCAATAACTACCACATGTGCATATGTGGGGTTTACTAACTCATATGGTAGTTTATATGGTGATAACACATGTCGATGATGACAAGGAATCACCATTGTATTGACTATGTACTCAATGCTTTGCTTAAAACAGATATCACTTCCAAAGCAGCATTCTCCACCACAACTTTTCTTAATTTCCCCCAACTACAATCAATGAAGCAGAACCACCACTGTTTTGGGTTTGCAAAATAAGAATCACTTCCTTCATCTGAAAGCATATATCATCAGTAATTAATCTAAAAAATCTGAAAGCATAAAAATCAAAAACCCTAAATATAACCACACATTTTGAATGTTCAATCAATCGGAATCAGATACCCATACTTCCCTGAGGGAATCACATACCCATTCCCAAAGACAGATTCCATACCAAAACCATTTCAAAGATATCAAAAACCTACCCAAACTTCAGAAGCATAAAAATCAAAACCACTGTTTCCAAAACTCTTGAGACAGACAAGAAATTTTTTCGATAATTCCTTAGAAACCCATTCTGAAGCCTTGCTTTAGTAAACCAAAATATAAAATCGATGGATCACAGAGTCAACCCTACATTCTCAGTAACAACTTATTTTTCGCAATAAAAAAAAAAAAACCTGAACTTCAACAACAAGACCACACATACGTTCTCAATCATCATACGTCTTTATCTTCCAAAACCCAAATCAAAGATATCAAAAGAAAAAAAAAACACGCTTCCATAAAACATAAAATCAACACAAAATAAAAGCACAAAAAACAGAGGAAGTGATAGAGAGGGCCATACCTTTAGGTTTTTTTTGAGAGAGAAGAGATTTGGGTATCAAGCAATTGAGAGATTGAATGGCATGAATAAGAAAAAACAGACATGTGTGAAAGCAGAAGGAGACATAGATATAGAAAGAGAGAGTTTGTGTTCTTATCTATGCAACTTTTTTGTTTTTTTGGGAAGAAAATCTAGGATACAACTTCGTCTTCCTATTTTTTTGAAAATCGGTGACCATATTCAATGCTTTGTCAATTGCCATTGCTTATTACTGTGCACACGCCGCTTGGACTTTTCTCCTCTCTGGGTAAAGGAAATTATAATTGGGTTTGACTCTAATCGTTTGTTCAAACTTTGAAGCTTATTCTGAAATTATTGGAAGAAAAAAAATGTCTTTTTCACAAAAAAGGCTTGCCTTATTGGGAGGTAAGTAATTTCCACAATAATGATACAAATTCTTAAATCTTTTTATGTTGTACATATATACTTCTTTTCTCATACATAAAAATGAATTGACAAGACAAAGAATTTCTAATGAGTCTGAAACATGTTTTGAAATGGCACAAACGCTTCTTTTCTCAAATGTAACAGTAAATTGAAAGATGAAAAAAGTTTAATGAGTTCTAAATATGGTCAAATGGTAAAAATACTTTTTTTTTTCACATTTAACAATAAACTGAAAAGATGTAGAATATTTATATGGAGCGCTCGGTTGTGGGCTGGAAACCCTCTCTTTGGGCCGTTAGTACCTTGCAGTCATGGTAATTGTACCTGGGAGATGGGGGACTAGGCTATCCCACATCAGATAACTTTGGTTTGTGTGTGAGTGTATTTATAAGTCTTCACTTGACTTTTACTTTGTTAGAGTAAATGATTAGTGTGAATCAAAAGAGAAGATGAAGAATACATATTAAGTCTCAATCATGTTGTGAATGGCTCAACGTCTAATGAAACAATGATAGATGAACAACTCACGTAATCTAGACAAACAAATGATTGTTTATATAACTTGAAAAATTAGGTGTGTAATTCGACAAATCTCTATGTAACTTGAGGGGTTAGAAACAAGACATAGCAACTTACTTCCACTTGTTGGCATTCGACACTTGTGTTTATAGAATTCGAGTTGTTGGTCTTTGATTTTCCACCTTGTTCCTTTTTATTTTTCCCCCTTGCTTACCTTAAAAGACGTGAATTTATAGGCTTTTGGGGGTAACTCGCCTAGAAGAACAAGAAAGGATTGGATGTTAGCAACCACCTTTTTCTTTCACATTGATAATCCAAGGATTGACCTCAGCTATAAATTTTAATGTGTTGAATTTAAATATTGATAATTCTTTATGATCATATTATATAAAATTTATTTTTTATGAATATCTTATTTTCAATATAGATGTCTTATTTTTTATTGGATCGAAGAGAAAATTAAATGAGGTACATGCAAATTAATTCAAACACTTTTAATTGTTGAATTGAAGAAAAAAAAAAAAAGATAACACATTGATCAAATGGCCTAAAGATTTCCTTGGGAAACCAACATTTATTTATTTCATGGCTCATTTGATTTTCAAGAATAATTTCGAAATACCTATGGCGTTTCAAAAAAAAATTAGTCTACTTATAGTTTGAATGGGCAAATCAGAGTTCGCCGAAACTCCATGGTATCATATCACATCCTCGTACCATAACTGTAGTGGCACATTAAAGAAATCAATCAAAATTGGTACCTTGGAGAAAATTTCTTGAGTCAATGAATATCTAGTTGCCATTCCTCCAACACAAGAATTTTCCTCCACACAAATCATGGCCCCTTTCAACAAATTTCTCAAGTGCCTTTTTACTTTTCATTTTTAATATGAAAAACCCAATTATTATTTCTTTGGTCTTGAAAACCCCCATTATTCAATGTCGATACCTCTTAGGCTGTTTTTGAAGGAGATACAATTAAAATCTTCAAGTTGTTGAAAGACCATGTAGCTGAACCCACAATACTGGGTAGGGGTATTCACCCTATCCTACGGGTAGAAAATATGGTATGTCGTCTTCCTATCTGATAATTTGTAAAAGAATTTTTTCTTGACCTGCCCTACTCGATCAAGTGTGATAATCCTATATGACTTTTGGCCAAATTAATCGGGTAGAAAGTCGGATAGGAAATCGAGTGAGCACTTTTGTAGTTATTAATTTTTGGATCATTTTAACAATTCAATTAAATAATATGTATCAATTTAACAACACAATAAACCAATAACACTAAAATTTAAAACATTTATAACAACAATTATGATAAAACACCAAAAGTATAAAACATCACTCTATCATAATTGTTGCACTAATACAATAACAATTATTTTAATTTTAAACCATATGATTAGAGAATTAGGATTTTTAGTATATAATTTTAAACCATATATACATGGGTTTGTAATGTCGCTCCTAATCCCAGATATTCTAATTTGAATATATTGAGTCAATTCAAAAAAAAAAATATGTCCATACCTCTTCAACTTCTAATTCTCAAATACTTTTAACCCAACCTTTCACAAAAATAGCAACCCGCAATCGGTAAAGTATGCAATTCGGAAATTTATTTACTGTATTTGAGATATATCAGTTAAGTGGGCACTTAAAAATTCCATAATTATGAGCCCTTGGCATAATATTGATATTTTTTCTTTTGTACTATTTATGTTTTTTGAAAATTGTATTGCAAAACATTATGGGCGTGTTTGGATTGCATCTCAAAAAACAGTATTCAAAAACAGTTTTTAGGAAAAATTTTAGAAAAAGTGTGTTTTGGCATTTTCTAAGACGAAGAACTTGTTTGATTATATAATTTTAAAAATAATTTTACAGAACAGAAAATAGTAATATCTATTTGGATAGTAACAAAGAAAATAATAAAAGTAGAAATGATGTTTGGATTGATTATTTCATATATAAAGTTTTTACATTATTTGTACCCATACACGAATACACTCATTGAATTGAAATAGACATCCACGACATTTCATTCAAAATAAATTGAGATTGATGAAATGGTCAATATGCATTTGATAATAGCACTTTGTCTTTCCAACTTTTTTGATGATGCACTTTTTGAAAAGAAGAGAAAACCACAAGCCACTATTATGGTCTCTTTCTGTGAACAAAAACCAAAATGCTCCTACTTTTAAACATCTATGTGCTTATCAACACAAACGCAACAACTACTGCCACCTAAAAAAAAAAAACCCACATTCAACCCAATTTTATTAATTAAAAAGGGCAAAGAACGCATTGAATATTTACCATCAAGGTACAATCAATTGTTACACTTCCAAGTTTTGGGCACAAGAACCCAATTTTTTGAACAAGCCCACAAAAAAATTATTAGAAGAGCATAGCACTTCATCTCAAGAAATCCCACTGCCAATA